GAAAGTGTCTTCTGGAGAAGGCATTTTTCAGTTAATGAAATAAAAAGCAAGTTACAGATCTATAAAAATGGAACTCTAACCTAACTCTTACCTAGGTCCTTATTTTTCTGTAGCTTACTATATCCGATTTGAAGATGGCTCTCAAGGGATCTTTTTATGCTTTTCTTAACCTTGTGAAATGTGAGCTTCTGCTGAGGGTGGAGTCTGACTTCTGCTTTGATGATTAGAGCACCTCACATACAGGTGTCAAACTAAAGTGGTTGTATTTGTTTTATTCTGTTTTTGTTTTGTTTTAAAGACAGTCTCCTTCTGTTCCTCAGGCTGAAATGCAATAGCCCAGTCACAGCTCACTGCAGCCTCAACCTCCCAGGCTTGACCGATCCTCTAGCCTTAGCCTCCCAAGTAGTTGGGACTACAGGAATGTGCAACCACACCCACCAAATTTTCATATTTTTTGTAGAGACAGGATCTCACTTTGTTGTCCAGGCTGGTCTCAAACTCCTGGGCTCAAGCAGTCCTCCCATCTTGGCCTCCCAAAATGCTGGGATCATAGGTGTGAAGCACCAAGCCTGGCACTGTTTTTTAATCATTCTCTAACATTTCTGGATATATAATCTCTTACAGTTGTTGCTTTGCTGTAGAGAAATTTAAAAGCAGGATTAATTAAATGACTGCCATCTTTTTGAAAACAATATTAGTACCATTCCCATTTGTCCTCCACCCTCGGACCTATTTAGATTCTTTACTGTTAGTTTTTGGATGCAGTTTAAAAGTTTTCTTCCCCCTATTCCTTTCTTTAGTCTGCAGGAGAGCAAAATACATGGTGGCAGCATTGAAACCATACACATAATAATCCTATTTTTCCTAATCCAGATCAGAATATATGATCTGATATTCACAAGTGTCTTTTGTTATGGGGACAGGATATTTTCTGTCTGGATTTGGTAGGAAAGCATTGGAATAATGATTGCTATTTATTTCTACCTTTCCTACATCAAGGGAAGTAAAACAGAGTCATTTCTATGGATAGAGATACACATCAGCACTGCACACTATAAACACTCGTGTCCACTGTTGGTGATGTGTGATGCAGGCCTTACTGGGCTGCTGTTTTTAGTCTTGCCTAAATGGATATTTGACTGCCACGTGGTGATTATACTGTTCAATTAAGTTTTTTATAGAATCAATCAATATTTTCTGTCTCAAGTAATTTCAATTTGTTCTTTTTAAAATGAGATCCTTCTCTTTTAAAAAATACATTTCAAGGGTTTTCTTAGAGATCAGTCTTCTAGCTTGTTTATAAAACACCTTGGCAAAGATAAATTTTAAAATATCATTGAATTTAAGAACACCACAAGATTTGCCACTAATTTACATTTAATGTTTATAGTTCTCAAATTGTGGTTGTTGTAATAACCAAAATATTTTTGCCTTGAATATTTTGTGGATTATATTTCCCTATTCTTTCTCCTTACCCACATTCCCCACGGTAGGTGGGCAGATTGTTGTTACATAGTTTGGCCTTTATTTATCTTTATTGGTTTAATCTCACCAAGTTTGCGTTTCTAAATATGAAAATACGTGTATTCTCTGGCAAGATTTTTTTCTTTTTAATGTTTCAGTTTATTTAGTGGAATTAGCAGATCATTACTTGTTTGGTATAGATAATTATCCCCATATCTTTATGTACATCCATGCTGAGCAGCTGCCTTTAGTTTAATTCTTATTGTTGTCACTACTTTACAGGAAACGTGCAAGTCAAGCTGTTTAATGTAATTAGATTTTTTTCTATATCATTGTGTTCCTCATTTAGAATTAATAATTTTGGATTCACGCTTGAACCCACAAGGCGGAGGTTGCAGTGAGCCGAGGTCGTGTCACTGTACTCCAGTGTAAGCAACAGAGGGAGACTCCATCTCAAAAAAAATAGATAAATAAAAAGAATTTTGGATTAAGCCATAAATATTTAATAATTAGTATAATCTATTGTATTAGCATGTCTCTTTGGAATTTTTCCCAGCATCAGTCAAAAAGGCAGATCAGATCCTACCAGCCTTCTCCTTTTCATGATTCTCCATTTTCTAGAGAGGAGTCTTAATTCCTTAGCATGGGATTATTATGATTTTTACTGTCACTACTATGGCACTTATATTCAGTTACAAAGGGCAGTGTTTTGCATTGCTATAGAAATTCTGAAAATTTTTGCTTTCACAATTAGTAGCCATGAAATAAATTTGTGGGTGTTTAATTCTCAGATAAATAATAAGTTTTAATAATTTGGGCATTTCATCTCATTCTTTAAAAAATATTTATTATATCTTACTTTTAAATGTCCTACCTTGAAGAAAGGACTTTTATTTCTTGTAGTTACTCTCACCTCAAATAGTAGAAGACAGTCATGACTAATGGATTCATTGAGGTGCTCTCAAATACAGAGGTTAAGTTACAAAAATGACCACCTTTAGGAAAACAAACTTTAGAAAAATCCAGAATCACTGGGTAATTCTTTTTATTTTGCAAGAATACTTTTATTACATAAAAGTTTAATGATTACTATTTATTTTTAATAAATAACATTGTTTATTAAAATAATAGATTTATTTTAAATCATTGTTCTTTTAAGTAATTTAAAATAGGACTTTGCCAAAATTTAATACATACAGAAATATCTGCAAAGAATGCTACTGTATACCTTTACTGTAACTGTAGAAATTATTGAAGTGAGAGAGAGACAGAAATAAATGAGGTGGGGGAAGAAAAAAAGAGAGATGATTGGATAAAGAAGTGAAGCCTTTTTTTCCTAGAGAGTAGTTCTGTGTAAAGTTCCATTACCTATTCGTGATGGACCTGCCCCCATGATTCAATCACCCCCAACCAGGCCCCATTTCCACCACTGGGAATCACATTTTAAAATAAGATTTAGAGGGGAAGAATATCCAAACCATATCAGCAACCTTGAGAAAGAACAAATTTGGAGGCATCACACTTCCTGATTTCCAATTATGTTACCAAGCTATAGTAATCAAAACAGTACCCTACTGCCCCCATGATTCAGTCACCTCCTACCAGGCCCCACCTCCAACACTGGGAATCACATTTTAACATGAGATTTGCCATAAAAACAGACACAGAGACCAATGGAACAGAAAACCCAGAAATTAAACCTACACACATGTGGTCAACTAATCTTTGACAAAGGTGTCAAGAATGCACAATGGGGAAAGGATAGTCTCTTCAATAAATGGTGTTGGTAAAAGTGGATGTCCACATGCGATAAAAAAATGAAATTGAATCCTTATCTCATACCATAATTAACTCAAATGGATTGAAGATAAACATAAAAGTTTAAAACTTCTAGGAGAAAACATAGGGCAAAGCTCCTTGACATTGGCCTTGGTAAGATTTTTTCGATATCACACCAAAAGCTCAGGAAGCAAAAACAAAGATAAACAATTGGGACTATATCACTCCAAAAAGCTTCTGCATGGCAAAGGAAAAAGTCAACAATATGAAAAGGAAACCTGTGGGTTAGGAGAAAATATTTGCAATCATACATCTGATAAGGAGTTAATACCCAAAATATATAAGGAACTCACACAACTTAATAGCAAAGTAACAACCCAATTAAAAAGGAACAAAGGACCTGAAGGTACATTTTTCCAAAGAAAACATAAAAATGGCTAACAAGTATATGAAAAGATGCTCAGCAGAACTAATCATCAAGAAAATGCAAATCAAAGCTGCAGTGAGATATATCACCTTACACCTATTAGGATGGCCTTTATTAAAAAGACAAGAGATAAGTGTTAGAGAAGACGTGGAGGAATAGGAACCTTTGTACACTATTTGTGGGAAAGTAAATTTGGTACAATCATTACGGAAAACAGCATGGAAGTTCCTCAAAAAGTTAAAATCAGATGATCCAGCAATGCTTCTTCTGGGTATATAGCCAAAAGAAATGATCTTGATACCTCAAAGAGATGCCTGCACTCCCATGTTCATTGCAGCATAATTCACAATAGCCAAGATGTGGAAACATCCTGCCCGACCTAACTGTCAGGTGAATGGATAAAGAAATTGTGAAACAGATATACACACATATGTAATAAAATATTACTCAGCCTTAAAAAAAGTGGAGATTCTGCCGTTTGTGACTACATGAATGAACCTAGAGTATATTATGCTAAGTGCAGTAAGCCAGACACAGAAAGAAAAATGCTGTATTATCTCACTTATACATGCAGTGTAACCAGAGTGATGGGTTATTTTGGTGGCCTGGATTTTATTTCCTTGGGATATCAGTCATCTAAACTCATCAGATATTTTTAAATATTCTTTTAATGAATGTTATTATAAATCATTCCATCCACTTGTGTGGGACTTGGATACTTTCACATATGACTACAGGCCAAATGTGTGTTATTCAGAGAATTGTGGGATCTCTGAGGCATGAGACATCTATAAGAAAATTTACAATTCATTCATAATACATTTTAATAATATCGAATCTCCCCACCCCCACCCCAGAAAACAAATCAAAACTAGGAAGAAAAGAAGCCACAATTTATTTAAGCTAGAAAATGTAATTTGTTTAATTTTTACCAATAATTATCCAGTGTTTGCTTGGGTGTGGAGAAATAGACAATCTCATATTAGTGGAAGCATATGTTGGTACAGCTTTCTGGAAATACATGTGGCAATATCTATCAAATACACGTTAAAAAACATTATATGTTATTTGATCCAGAATTGCATTATCCTAGGGAAATAATTTTACAAATATGTTTTAAAATCAAATATAGTCATTGTTTTTTAAATAGGAAAATTTTTGTTTAACAATAGAAATATTAGTGTTGTAAACTTTCATCTTAATATTGCTTTTGGTGTAGCCTATAAATTTCTTTAAAGTTTTTTTTTTTTTAATTATTATTTAAGCCTTTCGTACATAGTCTGTAATTTCCCTTTTGAATTGCCCTTTGGCCTAATTTACTTATAATATTTAAAATATATAGATATATATTTTCCAAATGTCTGGGTGTTTTATATGTTTCTTCCTTTATTAGGTATTTTAGTTGTTTTGTTGCATAGTAGTTAGATTGTTAGATATATTAGCATAAGGAATTTATTAGAATTTTCTTGGTGACATTAATATGTAGTGGCTTTTTACAACTGTTCCGTGGACAGGTTAGGAAGATTTTCAAGTATCTTTTAGATCATCAGTATTAGTAGTACTTAGTGCTTTTTCATCCTTAGCCTCCGAAATTTGTTTTGACCACAGACCCTCTTCATTAAAAATTTGAAAACTCACACTGCACCAATGCCTGCCCTAGTAAAACCCCAATCCTGGTTAGATCTAATTATTTGCTCATTTCAAAACTATATTATGTCTATTCCCCAGTAACAGAACACAACTAGAGAAAAAGATAATCAAGTGGACTAATCTTACTTTCTTCAATAAGAATCTCAAATACCCTTGGCACTGCCAAGCAATCCTAAAACATTCCCTAGTGTACCCATTCTCCCATGGTACTTAATGATTGTTTAAACCTTTTCCTCTCTTCAGACTTTTTGCACTTCTTCCTTTTTCCAGCTTCATTCCTAGTTCACTTGTTCTCCAGATTCACTTCATCTTGTTGCACTGAGAAAAAAGTAATCAGAAGAGTACTTTCACAAGGTCCTACCATAGCACCGACATACATTATTGGTTAATTTTTATCACCACAGAACAATGTTATAATTTCCCCTATCTTAAACAAACGAACAAAGCTTACAGCTATGTTTTTCTGCTCTCATTTAGCATAAAACTTCTCAAAAGAGGTTGCATTTGCTCTCCTCATATTCTCTTTAGAACCCACTTGAATCATGCTTTCATCCTCACCACTCTACAAGAAATTACCCTTGTTATACGGTTGCTAATAACCTCCATTGTTACCAAATACATTGGTCAGTTCTCCATCTCCATCTTTCTCTGGATATCAGCTCTCAGTGGCCCTAAACTGAACCAGCACACTGCCACTTCCAGAATTTTGCATGTACTGTTTTCTAGCTCTCTCATTTTCCTCGGATCTCTACTCACATATCGTATTTTCAGAGAGATTTTCTCTGACCATCCCACGAAAAGGGGCTATGGACTGAATTGCTCTCTTCCCATCCACCCCCCACCCAATTTATATGTTGAAGCCGTAACTCCCGGTGCCCAGTGTGGTAGTATTTGGAGATGGGACCTTTGGGAGTTACTTAGATTTAGACAAAGTCATGAGAGTAGAGTTTCATGGTGGGATTAGGGTTTTGTAAGAACAGGAAGAACCTCTAGAGACCTCTGCCATATGAGGACATAGGGAGAAGGCAGCTATCTGTAAGCCAGGAGGAGAGCCCTCACCAGACCCAGAGTGTGCTGGCACCCTGTTGTTGAACCTCCAGCCTCCAGAACTGGGAGAAATAATTTCTGTTGTTTAAGCCACCTATTCTATGGTATTTTGTTATGGCAGCCCCAGCAGACTAAGACAAAAGGAACAGTGTACTTCCCATATATCAATCCTTTTCTAAATCCTTACTCTACTATATTATTATTCATGGTACTTACCATCCGTGATCTTTTATATGTTGGTTTTTATCTGTCTTCCTCTACTTTAGGAGAAAGCTCCAGGAGACAAGAGCTTCATCTCTTATTTTCACTGCAGTATCTCCAGTACCCTGAACAGAGTGTAATAATAGTAGATGCTCAATAAATGTATTTTATATAAACAAAATAATAATGAAAATATCTTCAAACATCTGTAGATCATAGTTGTGTCATCATTTGGAAAGCACTTATTTTCTTACTACTGTTAACTTGAAAGGATATATACATTGCATTTATTTTTTCAACAATATCTGTTAGTAGTATCCAATGGTCATCACAAAAAAAGTTAAGCAAATTTGTAACACTTGTCTTTTTAACAGGAAAAACAGTAATTTGTCTTTAGGTTCCAGGACACCTTTAATTACTTTGCTTAGAGAGAACCAGTGAACCTTTGGATAGGATAAAGGATTTTGACATTCATTCTACATCTCAACTCAAAGTATTATAAAGATTTCGACTACTGATGGTATAATTTTAGTTGACCATAGCAAAGACATTTCGCTATACCAAGTGCAATAAATTGTAGTGTCCTCAATAGTAGTAGTACCAGAGTCATTCATAGCACTTACTGCATGCCAGATACTGTTCTAAACCCTAATATATGTGTTATCTGATGTATTCCTTTCTTCACAGACTACCCATGAGATGGTTTCTGTTACCCTATTCACTTTATAGTTGGGGATACTGAAGCACAGAGATTAGGTAACTTGTCTAGGGTCACAGTTACAAAGTGAAAAGTACTAGAAAGCAATCTCCTCGGTGCATGCACTATCTGGAAAAGGAAGGTACTAGGAAAGTTTTATATGTCTTCCATTTTGACCTTTATCTGGAAGAAATTTCTTGAGTTTTGTTATGTATAGTTGCTAGGCTCCCTAATTTTAAGGTTGATAAAGATATTTTATTTTTGCTTTGCCATGTCAATTTCTGAACAGAATCACATATTAAAAGATAATGGACTTATCGTACTTGGTTTACAAACGTGAAACCTCATTATCTTAAGTCCACAATTTATAAAACCATAGTTGATAAGAGATTACTATATCTTCTTTCAAAAATTTTAAAAACACATAAAGGGCCAAGGACACTCAGTTGTTTACATATTAGTGTGAATCAGATTGCTTACCTCTTGGTCATTAGCTAAGAGGGACTTTAAAGAATTTTGGTTGGCAAAGAGTAGAGGTAAAGTAGTTTTGAACCTTAAAGAAATTTAAAGAGTAGGGAATATATTAAGTGAGCCGCTGTAATCACTGGATTACCAATCTTAAGTCTCAGGAAATGGCCTCTGTTTGTTTCAGCTTGTGTCCAGTGTTCAGGCCTGGACTTGGCACCATGGCTAGAAGGCAGGATCCTGTTATACCTCTCTCACATAGCAGCTTCTAGGCAACCTTGCAGAGATGAAGGAAAGAGGAGGCAGATAGTGCCTTAGCTCCTTACTGGATTAGACCATCTGTTCATTCATCCACTCAACATTTATATTCATAATATGCCATATATATATTCGGTTGATCTTGAGACTGTCAGTATTTTATTTCAAAAATAATTTTTGTAATCTAAATTTTCTTTAAAAAGCTACAGAGCATACTGTTTAGTTACCTTAGACTTAAAGGAAAATGCCTAATGAAAAACTAAATAGAAAATCTCACTAAAGTTCACAGAATGACAGAGAGAAAGTAAAGTGTGCTTCCAGTCAAGCTCTTTCACTTAAAAAACATCTTCACTAAACCTGTAAAACATTTCAATAAAAACGTTTCTGTGAATGTTATTTTAAATACTATATTACTTAAGCAAATATTTAAATACTGTATTAGTTTCTCTGCATTCTTTACTTGAATTTAATTCTACCTGTCTGCCAAGTGTGTCAAAACCCCAAGTCCATTTTCATTTGCCAGGTTAAATGTTTATTTTGTTTTCCCACATAATATGTTCTTTGAAGTGTCGTAAGCGTACCAAGCCTGATTTCTTTTTAATAGGGACATGGTAGGGGAATTTTTTTCTTTCTTTCTTTCTTCAGTTAATGGGATAGAATATGCTTTTCTCAAAGAATATGTAAAGGTATGTTCACATTCCCTGTCTACTGAAGGTACACACTGCTTTCATTAGCTGTTAGAAAATAGACTTTCACTTTCTTAAAATGTGTCCAGTAAATTTAATGTAAATTTTTGAAGGCTCACTTTATTTCCTTATTATCAGAATACCAAAGACTTTCTGTAATCTAGAATGTCCACTTTTACCTCACAAGTCACCCTGTATAGACTAATACAGTGAAAAAGTATGAGGCTATGGTGATCTACAAATAACTGAACATTATTTGATTTGGGAGTTTCCATTTGCTTCTGCTCGTCTATGCTTATGTGAGTCAAACATCCATTTAGAATCTTTTACACTTATTTTCAAAGAGCATTGTTATACATTTGAATACCGTAATCTCTTAGATATACTTCTCTCAAAAAACAACTACTGATAATAGCTTTCAACATATATTTTATCTTAAAAGGACAGATTTAATATTTAGCCTCTATATGAATCACATGGTGATTTGTAACTTTTGCAGAGTTCATTAGTACATCTTCTTAGATTTCTTGTGTTAGACCTATGTCACTATACGAGCATCTCCAGGAGGAACTATTTGAAGCCAGAGTAGTGGTGATTTTCCTATCCTTTTATTTTCTTGACTTTATAAAGTACATGAATTCTTTTTCCATCCTCTGTTATGAAAGTACAGATTGTTGTGAATGCCATAGTCTCTCTTTCATTATCACTATCACAAAGACTCTTCATTCTCTAAATCAGGAAAAAATTCTTCAATGCAAGATAGAGGAGAGATAGCAGACTAGTACAAAATTGATACAGTAGAGTACGTAGCTGTATCTTTGATACAAGTGAAGTGATTCTAACACACTCATAGTTTTGAAATATCTTGATGTTTACCAGAAGTTAAGACCCTGATGGTTTCTTCCAGTGACATTTCTTCTATATAAAGAATTGGGCTGGGCATGGTGGCTCATGCCTATAATCCCAGCACTTTGGGAGGCCAGGAGATCGAGACCATCTTGGCTAACTGTGAAACCCCGTCTCTACTAAACATACAAAAAATTAGCTGGGCGTGGTGATAGAAGCCTGTAGTCCCAGCTACTTGGGAGACTGAGGCAGGAGAATGACGTGAACCTGGGAGGCGGAGCTTGCAGAGAGCCGAGATTGTGCCACTGCACTCCAGCGTGGGTAACAGAGCGAGACTCTGTCTCAAAAAAAAAAAAAAAAAAAAAACCAAAACAACAAAGAATCATTGCAAACAGCCTGAAACTTTCTCGGTGTGGATTTGGCCAGGTTGTCTTATCTCTTAAATCTTAGAATTATGAAGTATTTCTTTGCTTTTTAAATGTCTTTTTCTTTTCTTTTGTTTTGCTTTGGTTTGTTTTAGACATAGGGTCTCACTCTGTTTACCAGGCTGGAGCACAATAGTGAGATCATTGCTCACTGCAGTGTCAAACTCCTGGGCTCAAGCGATCTTCCCACTTTATTTAGCCTCCCCAGTAGCTGGGACTATAGGCATGCACCACGGTGCCTAGCTAGTTTTTTTCTTTTCTTTTTTTTTCAGGTTATATAGACATGGGATCTTACACTTGTACTATAGAATGTCCGCTCTCGAACTCCTGGCTTTAAGGGATCCTCCTAACTTGACCTCTCAAAGTGCTGAGATTACAGGCGTGAGCTACCATGCCCAGCCAAAATATTTCTAAGACTTTCAGGAGTTCCCTGAGATAAGAGAATACACATAGAACCACAGAATCTCAGAGCTATATTAAAGAAGAGAGAAGTCAGTCACAGTGAGATGAAGCAACTTAACCTAGAGAGTCCCATCCTGTGTTAGAGGTAAAACCGAGACCTAGAATCCAGATCTTCTGATTCCCAGGTAAACATTCCTATCACCACTTATGCTAATCTTTTTCTAATGGCAAAGAATGTTTTTCAGTATTATAGAAGAATATTTCAAAATATTTAGGTTATGATTAAAACTCAGTTGCCACTGACTTACAACACTTAAGCACTGTATAGAATGTATTGGGATTGGGTTGAAATTGTATTTACCCTATGGTGTGCCCAGTCCGTTCCTTTTCAAATATATCTTAAATGTAATTTGCTTTATTCATATCTCTCTCATCAAAATAAAACAACAAAAATGTAATTTCATGCTTTTTGTTAACAAGGAAGCAATATTTTCCAGGTATGTGGCTTCTTCATTAAAATCCATCCTTCATTTATTTATACCTAGCTCTGCAAATATTCTCTGTTACTTTCAAGTTCCTTGTTCTTGGAATCACTTTGCCCCTCATATCCTGTAGTGTATTTCTCCCTTAGATGAAGTTTGAGATGGATAGCAGCTATAGCCGGTCTTCCAGTAAAGGGTTAGAATAGAACATGTCAATAGCAGTGATCCATCCCACCAGCTGGCATTTATGCAAAATGGCAAAGCATTTAAGTATGCATTGGAGTGAATCATTTGTCATACTCCTTTTCCTATCACTTGCCTTCCTTGAGGAGTTGTTATGCTAACTCTAAGGTATGAATAGATTAAATGCCACTAAATCTACTTTTTCAGACGTACGCTTCTTAATCTTTGTGGAATTAGGACAGCTATTAGGCATGGTTAATTGTTTGACTTAACTTTGCCCTCTTCTTATCCCCTGAAAGTACTCCAATGAAGTTTAAAACTGCATAAATTGCATTTAAAAAAATGTAAGTGATGTGATGGAAGAGAATCCTCATTCTTAAACTTCTTAGAGGTCCTATGACTGCCAAAAATCAGTTCTGGAAATGATTATCATGGGTCACATAGATGTAATGAATTTTTAACCTCAGTCATATACCACCATGTAGACACAACTACTTGCCACTCAGTATCCATGCTCTCCTTCCCTTGTAACAAAACTGATTTGTAGCTGGGTATTTTGCCATCCAGACCAAAGAAGAAGAAAGAAAGAAAATCCGCATTTCTCTTACCCTCAGCCACATTTGGTCACACGACTGAGTTGTGGCCAATGAAATGTAAGCATTCCACGGGAATTGCTAATAC